TATTGCGATTAGTGTGTATGCTGCTTAGTTTATGTAGTTTTATTTTATGTGTGGAGTTATGGGTAGCAAACGAAGAAGCTGTAGCATCATCGGATTTCGAACCATCAGTATAAATTAAAAATAGTTCCGGAATATTTTGTAGTAGACAGGAAAATTCGGTAAGGTGAGGAATTGCTTTTGAGTAACCGAGAGAGACGGAATATCATTTTTGGGGGTTAGTGGATCCAAGGTGGGTTTTGGTTTTCTATATTGTATAAAAGTAAGTTCTTAAGGGATTGAGCTGCTGAATAAATTCTTTCTGACAGTGGGAGTGTGGAATTTGTTTTGTTTCTAAAAGCGTTAGAAAATTTAGGTTTAAAAATGTAATTATGAGTAGGATGTTTATTTTGGGGAAGTAGCCTTGAAATGTAGTTAACAGCTATTTTTTTCCTTCTAAATAATTGAGGGTCTACTCCGGCCTCAGAACAGAGACTATGGATGGGACTTGTTCGAAACGCGCCAGTCGCTATCTTAATGCCAATATCAATATAATGCATGTGATAATATTGGCTGTTGGACGTTTTGGTACGAATCCGTTTTATCTTCCAAAGAATGGGATATCTGTACAGTCTAAAAGAAAAAAAAATACATCAAAGGATTGTATGATTTAAAAAAATTATTGCACTGTAGCAAATATGTAATATTGTTCACACATTTTATGAATATTAGTACTTAAGTATCATGATTTGTCGAGACCAAGCCCCTATTGGTTAGGATTATAATATGGTTTGAAAAATTTACCAAATATACTGTTGTTAAGCAATATTGGTATGGGTTAATGTAATCGGAAGGATGATGTTTACCAATTCTCTACTCATATAGAAACTGTCCGTAAATATTAATGCTTTTGTATTACGTCTTTTTGTAATATATGTTGTATAATGACAATGTGATATGAATTCTTTCGATAATAATATTTTCCTTTATTTTTTTTTTATTGAGTATTAATACAGTCTACCACACGGAAGGGTATGAATACTAGGGCTACAGTATTCATTCACACAATATGTACATAAGAAAGGGAAATAAATATAAATAACCAAAGTAAGAAAAAAAATATATAAATAAATAAAAAGATAAAGTAATATACAAGATAAGTAAAATAACAGATTAAAGCCGAATGATAATAAAATAAATAAAACACATTGACATCTATGTACAATATTTACATTGGCCCAGAGGAATCGAGCTTTGTCCCCCAAATGTGGAAGCCAAAGCAGGACTCCAGGAGATCCCAGTGCTTTTCTCCCAACCGCGTCACTGGTATTTTCATTTATTATGATCAGAAATATTTATTTGCTTAGTTATTTATTTTCTTCATCTTTAAATTGGTAACTTTTTATGTTTTTTTTTATATAAGCATTTATATTATATAGAAGATGGGATGCAATAATGATAATTTATCAGAAGTTAACTAATAATAATTAATATAACTTCGAACCTATTTTTTCATCCCGAAATAGGCAACACATAACAATTTTTTTATCAATATTAAAGAAAACTTTTATTTAGTTATATCAACATATATATTTGTAACGTTTCGGTCACTTGGCCATTTTCAAATATTTCAAACACATTATTTACCATCTATTTACATTTAAAAATTGCCAACATCATCAAGACAGAAAATCTTTCTTTTTGTCCGTTTTTATTGGTGGTTATTTTTTCGTTCTTATTTTATATGTGGATTTATGATTTCGGATCTGCATTATTTTCAAATTTTCTTCTACATACCACATTTCCAACACATGTCTCATTCATCACCTAATGCTTGATTGATAGACAATTTTTGTCTAGATGATATTGACAATTATTTTAAAAAAATAAAAAATAAAAAGGTGGTAAATAATATGTGCAGTGAAATGTTTGAAAATGGACAAGTGTCCGAGATTTGACTAAATAAAACTTTTTTAATATTGATAAAAGAATTTTTATGTTTTATGTATTTTGGGATGAATAATGGGTTAAAAAAATTTGCCTCTGTCGAGAATGTGGCAGAGTCTGAAACACTCGACCGTTTGCTGGAAAAATGTCTTAACAACTCCCTCCGCATAACACGCCGGCAGGGTCAAATTCGAGTTGATGAGGCTCCTTAGGGAAAAGGAATTCACATGCTTCGACGAGGTATATTGTATCGATATTGATGGCTCAATGAGATATGCGGTTATTGTTGCATTTTCCGGAACCGGAAAGACAGCACTGGTCTTGGATCCAATTGTTCGCTTTGAAAGCAATGACCTCGATCATGCGAGTGAAGTAGAAAAAGAAAATAAGAACATATATGATAAATGTATCCCTTTCCTATAGGAGAAATTCCGCGAGTCCTCCGGAGAGAGAGAGTTCAACGTGAGAGGCCACTGGTTGGTTTCTGGCGGAGCGATTCCTAAAATTACAAGGGGCATCTTCGAGGAACTAGGTGTTGATGTCGGGGAGCTTTCAGTGTTGGCCGAGAGCATTACTCTAGACTACTTTGGGATCATTCATCACCACATATACAGGGGGTTTCGTAAGTAGAGGGAAGTTTAAAAATAAGTCATAAATTATTTGTAATTTTTTTTAACACCCTTTAATTGTAATAATAATAATACTTTATTTATTCTGGGAGGAGTCCCTTTAGAATAATACAGAAAGACATAAATATGGGCTAAGGAGCCTTAGAGATACATAAATAAAAATAGTGAGTAATTAAACTGTCATAGTAAAAAAAAGTTATAAGTTACTTTCTAATTTGAATCAGTTATAATAAAAAAAAAAAAAAAAAAAAAAGGATGAAGTAAAAATAATGAAGAACGAACTATTAATTTATATACATATTTACATTAGTATCTATTTACAATTTCATGGAGACTGAATGGATAAGGAATGATTGAACAGACGGGATTTAAAGGTAGGAAGGGTATTGGATTGACGAATGTGAGAGGGGATGGAGTTCCAAAGGGATGGGGATCGGATAATGAAAGATCTAACAAAACCAGCGGTTCGGTGGGTCCTTATGTATAAATTAGAAGACCGGGAACGTGTATTGCGGGAACGAACAGAGGATTTGAATTGAAGGAATTGTACTACGTTTTCCTCACTTTTACAAAAACCTCCTCGTTTAATCAGCTTTAAGTCCATATGTGTTTGTTTTAGATGAACATTTTCTAATATTATAAAATAAGGCCCTGTTCAGCTATGAAAATTAAAATAAATAAGGTGAAAAAATAAACAGAGCCTTATTTTGTAACAGCTTTAAGTCCATATTAGTTAATTTGAGGTTTATTAGGAAACAATTTGATATTCACCCCAAGTTGTGTGAAAAAATGTGATTTTCTATCCAGTCACCTTAAATTACGTATTACCACCTTAAAAAGGTGGTTATGAAATTGTGTTTTTCTTCCAGATTTCTATCATAAGAATTTATAAGTGAAAAACTAAGTTTCTAGCCCTAATATTCTCGTTTTCATAATTGAAAATAATTGAAGTTATCAGCAAGTTTCTTTATTTTAAATGTAAATTTTAGTAAGAAACATGAAGTTCGTCACTGATAAATACATATCAATTCCTACGAAGGAGATCTGGGAGAAAACACAATTTCATAACCACTTTAGGTGAAAAATATTTTAAAAATCATTATTTTTTAATTTTTAATTTTTATAAATAAAATGTATTTTTAGGCAATTATGTTTATTAAAATGCATCCCATATCACGGAAAAACAGGACATAAAAACTTTGCAACAGTTAATTGTAGCCAATTTTGAAGAAAACAGGGGTAAGGTGAATGTTTAGGAAATCACACTATTTCTTTACAAAATTTGAGGTGAATCTCAATTTATTTTTCCTAATAAACCTCACTTTAATTAATATGGACTTAAATCTTATTAAACGAGGAAGTTTTTGTAAAAGTTGGGTAAATGTAGCACAGTTAAAGGGTGATCAAAAAATTACAAATAATTTATGATTTTTTTTAAAACGAAACATAGCTGTGTTTGCAATCCTATTGTCCTCTTTAAATAGGTTTAACAATGACAAACTCTACTTCTAATTAAAGAATATTTTGTCTAGTTTACTATGGAGCAATTTTAATTACTTCAATCAAATATTTTTTAGGTTATCGTTTCCTATTCAATATAAAACGCAACTCGCTTAAAAAAACACAGAAATCTTAAATTTCTTACTTTTCTGCTGAAAAGTGGGCAATTATTTTTTTGAATTTTTTTGTAGATCTTGATGCCTACTATAAACCTTTTAAATATTTCTCTCTACTTACGGGACACCCTCTATATTAATTAACAGTTAATTATGGATATTTATTATCACTTATTTATTCAATTTTAAATGTTTTATCAATTCAAACCTGTTTGTCTGTGTTCATATGGTTATGTTACTTGGTGTGTGCTTGTTCTATTTTTGGAATTTTGGCATCCGAATATTTTATTTCCTGTAAATTTCGGACTTTGTGTTTTATCGGTTTCACTGCAATATATATATATATATATATATATATATATATATATATATATATATATATTGTTTAAAAGTGATTATGTTAGTGTACTGTAGTATTATTATTGTATATGATGAGAGATATGGAAACGGATATGTGTATATATATAAAACCTCAAGTATAATTAAGTGCTATGAGTATGCTGTTTACCGATTTTTTTTTTTTTTTTTTAACTTTATTTATTCACCCACACCTGTCATAAGCAATGAAAATTAGCGGGTCTGCTGTCGGTAAGTGTACAGGTAGTGGCTTGATCGGCGTGATGGAGAGGAATGCCCAGTGGCATCCCTTCCTGTCTTGATTTTAGCATATTTTTAATGTTTTAAATTTTAGCATATGTTTACCGAGTAACTCTATATAGTAGGACAGCACTGCTTTAAATAAAGAATTTATCTCTAATTAACTGTTGACGCTTAGTTATGTTTTGAAAACAAATACTCATAGTCAAATGACTAATTTTTTTTTTATTCTTACCTAGCATCCGAATTATAGGCTTCGTCGACTTCGAATGTCTCTTTCTTGAATGCACTGATCCTCCCACCCTAGTGCCAAGTGAGTAGTCGTTCCTTTCCCTCAGTTTTATAGCAATTTTAGTATACAGGATCACTATAATTATTATTGGAATGATAAGAAACATCAGAGTACTCAGCTCATATATCGGCAACCATTCAGGTATGTTTGCTTCTAACATAGCACAAAAAGCACTTTCCTCGAGTATGTTTCCCGAGTATGGAGGGTAATCGATATAGTTGACGGTGGTGAAGACTGCGAAGGGCAGAGCGCACATAAGAGACACCAGCCAAGCTGCTACAATGATCTTGAGGACTCTTGCCAAGCTGGACATGGTGTACGAGTACAGAGGATGGCAAATGGCTATATATCGCTCCATCGTAAAGGCCACTATGGTCAGTACCGATGTGTAAGACGACCTGGAAGAACAAAGAAACCTTAGTATGATAAAAAATAAATAAATAGAAATATGATCAACAGCCATATAATATGATTAGGTGTAATGGGCAATACATTATTTTTCACAATCCTCAACGGATATATGTAGCTACGTATCCCGTATATATATATGGAGCTAAATATATAGGACATATGTAGTGGTCAACACTGGTTAATAGTGGTTTAAGTGCCGTATTAGCTTCCTGGGCGCGCTGCGCGAGAACAGGGATAACCGTTGCCGATGCCTTGGCTACGAGAGTTGCTGAGTATGTAAAGTTAACAGACCATGTGCTTGGAAGTGTCTAAGTGTCAATGTGCTTAACTACATAAACGGGTATCATATGTTAACAGAATCTTGTAGTAGATAGCCCCCAGTATTTACTCCTTTATGTGACATTGTGTGAGGGAATGAGAAGGAATATACTGGAATGTGAGGTTGCACGATGAATTGTACTCAATTGTACAGTGGACAAATTGTTCATTGAAAAGTGTCATATCGATAAAGCATCGAAGAAGAGAGACGGTGGAAAAAGGACGGAGCAGGTAGCAACAGCTGGAGAAGGACGCCAGAGAAGAGGAGAGAAAGCACTTGAGACTGGGACACGAAGACGAAAGGACGATACCTGAGAAGAGAAGCCTACTACACTGAAGACTAAGAATATCAATCCTACAGTTATAAGACTTTAATAGATTCATTTATTACAGTTGTCAAAATAAATTGTTTTATTATACAGGCATAAGTCATTTAATTTAGTTGTCCTATATGCCTCACAATTGATGAATAACAAAACAGGTGAGTCAATTTATTCAAAGTGTATTTACTAAGTCCCACATTTCATATATATATTCTTATTCTAGACAACTGGGTTCGGTGAAGTCAGTGTGATGCCTCGTATTTGGAATACCAGGATATGAGGGTGATGAAGACAGAGTAGGCGAATGATATGAAGCTATCTGTGGAAAGTCTGGGATGTGGTGATGTTGGGGTAAAATCTGCGGTGAGGATCTGATGTTACCTTGGAGTCTGGAACGGCGGCGAACACCTGTCAGTTCTAAGTGAAACTTCTAGCTGAACACACCTCCCTAAAGAAGATCTGCAAAGTCGGGTCGAAACGTCGGCTTTCAATAAAATAGTTTTACCACTATTTAGCCTATTTATGAGCGCCACCTCGGACCATCTCCTTCCTTTATAATGCAACGGTCAACTATTAAATATTTAATATAACTCAAAAACAACGGGGCCAACAACGGCCAGATACAAACTCAGAATCTCTTCGCCCCAGTTGATATCACCACATCCCAGACTCTTCACAGATAGCTTCACATCATTCGCCTACTCTGTCTTCATCACCCTCATATCCAGGTATTCCAAATACGAGGCATCACACTGACTTCACCGAACCCAGTTGTCTAGGTATCTTCGATCTTCTTAAAACCAAATTCCATCCATATATATTCTTATTGTTTCTTCTCACTCAGTGTCACAAAAGTATTAGGTTCCCGAATTCCCAACAACAGTTAAACACCCTCAGAAAGTCTATATCCAGTGCCGGGGTCTTGTTTTAACATTCACGAGGGTAAATAACCTAGTTCTCCGATAAAAACGGAAGGAATCTTTACAATCCATGTGGTTATAAAATTTATGTCTGGCCAGGTAGTGAGTCATAGGTATTAAGTTTTTTTTTATTTATTAAATACATAATATTATCAATCGTTTCCCATTGTACATATGGGTCTTTCATTCTTTTATTCATATGTGCAGGACTTATCGTTTTGTTATTCGGTTATGTAATTATTATTAAATGCTCGTGTATCATACATTTGTTTGTATATATGTAGGCAGGTTTGGTAATATTCTCTCACAATAAAAAATGAAATATAGAACCAACGAAGTTAAAAATGTATCTTTTCAGCCTTACTTTAAAGAAGTCTTCTACTCATGATCCCTATCTTCTTAAACTTCTAATGGATGAATGTTAATTTGCTATATTTGCACGAAATGCAGTTGTTACAGATAAATACACCATTTAGATAAATCAGAAATAGGTAGGTTGAAGAGACTACCTTGCTTTAGAATTGCATGCGTGTATAATGCATCATTGGTGATATATAAAACCTTACGCCACCGTTCTTTTAAGCTCAGACTATAGTTGTATGCCATACCCAATAAAATTAAGAACGTGATTTAGTAAAAAAACAATGTATTGTAAACTGTATGACATGAAAACGTGTTTCAAAGTTCTGGTTTTGAGATATTGGTGCCCAAATCACTATGTTATTTATCAATGTCCAAGACAGTTTACTTATTAATAGCTTTAGACCAGGACTGGTTTAAATTTTTATACGAGAACATGGACTAAAATATGTAGGATGAACATGCAACGCATTAACACTTCTCTTGATAGTCCGTACTGATCTCTTTTTATCAAATTATTAACATCCGCTTGGTTCCAGTTCCATCTCATCGTAACCTTCAACTATTTTATTTAAGAAAACTATTGGAATTGGGGCGTTTTCAATCTGGAGAGAGGTGAACTTTGTAAATTAAATTGAATTGTAAATTAAATAGATTTAATTAGGTACTCTAAACTCGTAAATACCCATCTGCTTTCTGCTTGGATCGTAAGATTTGATCACAAAATCGATAAAAAAAGTGGCCTTCAAAAATATTGAGCCGTTTGGCGTGACCTACACCCCCGAATGTTCAAAATAAAGAGGTTATATAGGACGAACGACCAAATATTTTTGTTGGCCACCTTTTTTTATCGATTTTTTGATCAAATCAAGTTACGAGCCAAGTAGAAAGGAAATATGTATTTACGAGGTTTTAGTACCTTATTAAATAGAAAAAGTTTGGCCCCAATTCAGAGAGTTTTAGTAAATAAAATAGTTTTAGGTTACGATAAGATGAAATTACTTACGAAGTTTTAGGCTGATGTTAACAATTCGATAAAAAGGGGTCTGTACCACGGACTATGATCCATTTTACCAAATATTTCAGGCTGATATTATTGCGATAAGTAATTCTTTGCAGATGCTATTTGATTTAAATATAATCGAAACTCCCTCTTCCCACATAGCACATGAAGAGTTGAAGTATTTAGAGCTGTGATAGAGTCCCATAAGCACTCGACTCTATTCATGGTACAGGCGATAGGTTGGTAACCTTTTTATGATTAGAGGCCACAGTAAGATTAGGCAGTGCTATTGGAGACTACAAAAATTTTTTATTTGTTACTCTTGATATTTTTATTTACCATTAATCACACACACCCATCACCCATCCCCCCACCTATCCCATCCCATCCAAGATATATTATTACAGTAAGGCTCGAAATAGGGTTTGTACCCAATATAAGCTCCTGTCATGCTCAAATACCATGAATGGGGAATACCGTTGGGGTTTCAGAAATTCAGAATTTCACTGGGGGTTAGCGAATCGTATTCTCCACTTTTGTTTTTCTTTCTAAAATAAATAAAGTCGATACAAACATTTTGTTAGGCTTCGATATAGGAACGGTGGTAGGTCTGTAGATCGATACGGGACAAATTGGACCTTGAAGATTTTGATGCGTACAGCAAGATCCGGATAGTTCTTCCGGAACTATCGGATCCTGCGTTTTTAAACCCAAAAACGTTCTCTTTTCGAGATAACGCAAGGCATAGGGTTCGCATCCACACAACATTACGTTAATTGTAGTACTGTCATTGAATACATGTCTCATTTCGTCGACTTGAGGCTTCTATGATCGAGAGAGGAGGAGTTTATATTATTTATCGATTATTGAAATTTGTAAACATGTTGGTTCTAAACATTAATGAAGATTTGAATTATTTTTTTTTCCTTTCTCGATTATATTTAGTTATTCGAACTACCCCCCCCCCCTCTTCCTGCCGTCAACAGCAATTAGTTCGGATTACTGAGATTGCACAGTATTTACTTATTAATAAAAACTATAAATATAAATATAAAATATAAATATCTTTAACTTTTTACACTTATCATGTCATAACCAGCATTGACATCTTACGCTTTAGAATGCTTCTCATTTAATATTCACAATAAATCTAGAGAATTATAGATTTTCTGGTTTATTATTAGGCATCTTACATTTCCGAAGCAAGAGCTCTTATTTTGCACAAGCTCTCCCCGAACGGCCAAGGGTACTGCTGCCAGTAGACGCTTAAATCATTAGGAAGGCCTGAAAGAAACAAGATAAAAAAAAATTACAAATAATAACAATAAACAAATCAAATTAAATTAAAAAATATCACAACTTATATGTAAAATTTTTATATGACTTAGTTTCTTCATGTTTTGTGAAAAATTATATAACCTAGATGTAAGAATTTCGAAGTCTTGAATGAAATTTTTTCTTCATTCAACACAAAAACAGTGTGCCACTGAACCTATTGGAAGTGGAGGAGCTGAATATACTTTCAGATACAATTACACATCCTGCAGTCTGTTTCATCTTTCTCCTTGCTTCAAACTTTGCATTTCGAAAATTCGTAGTCCCGTCAAAATGTGCCCCCCTCAAAAATTTTGGTGGCGCAACTTGCGCTACCAAACCCCATGCTGGGCACCCCTGTTTATATTAGAAATAAAAATAGAAAATAACTTTATTCTGGGACAAAGTCCCTTGAGAATAACAAAATCAAAAGATTACATCTGGCTACAAAAGATCTGGCCTAAATAAAACAATAGAAAAAAAAAATATAAGTTAAACATGCTATTACAAAACAAATAAAACTATATACAAAAAAACTTAAAATTATGAAAAGACACTTTAACTATTTGCAGTGATAAAACAGTATGAATGTACACTTTTATGAAAAGAATGAAGAAAAAATAAAAATATATCAAATTCTTCCTTAAAATAGCTTTGTGTTTCTGTTGAGAAAAGAGAATGCTGAACCTGAGAATATAAAGTGGTTGAGTAATACATAATACATTATCATTTAAATGTTGAATAATACATAAATACATCATAATAATTTCTTAACGTGATGATAGGCAAGAATTTAATGGTATAAAAGATAAGCGTTATAAATAAACACTAGATGCGTTCAGTGTAATCGAGAGTAGGAAAATCTTAACACTATAGGAAAATCATTATCCCTAGCAAAGAACAGCATTAATATTTGACAATGAATGGCATGAAGTAAATGTATGTTGTCGGACGGTGAGCAACTATCTGACTGTTTATGGGATAGGAGAATTGGAATAGGAGAGTTTTGAATGTGGATATGGAGAGGAATACCGAATTTTGATAGGGAGGGAATTTCAAAAATTGATAGAGCGAGCAATGAAGGAGTTTTGGAATGAAGTTGATTTGTGAGAAGGCATGTCATATTACTGCAATATAATAAATATAATAAATGCAATATGATATAAATGTTTCCATATAAATAGAAATGTCATGGAAAATATATGGATAACATCTTTTGTTTTCAGCTTATTAAACCACTATGTGTTGTACATAGAATTGTCGTAATTTATATTAATTGTCTTAAGTTTATTATTTATAATTAAAGTATTATTCTCGAGGTTTGTTAACTTTAAAACAGAAATTAATTTCTACTGAAAGTTGTATGATACATAGGTTCAGATTTTTTTATTTTGTTTTTCGTAAACTTATGAAATTGTCAGAAACAATTAATAATAGACAGAAATAACTATATTCATCATTTCATTTCTTGAATGATTTGAACGTTTGAACATGAAACACGATTGAACACGAAATTTGATCGTTTGTCGGTTTCGAGTTAGGTTGTCATTTAATAATCAACACAGTTTTCCATTCCAGGGAATGTACTAACTACTAAAAAAAATATAAAAAACTATATAAATATTTGCATTCCATTATTTAACCTATGAGTTGGCGTTGCCATGTTATGAACCTCATGTTAGGTCGCCAATGTGGTAACGTGTGACCGCATTCCATGGGTGTACGCAGAGGATGCAGAGGGGGGGGGGGGGGGAGAGGGTTGCCTCCTCAAGTACTCTGACACGGGCCAGAACCCCCTACCGTGCATCTTCTCCCCCCCCCCCCCACATCCCTATAAATTGCATAGTGAACGCACTGCCCTAAAATGGCGTCCAAACATGGCTGACTGACGACTTCGACTTTAATTAGTTTTTTGGTCACTAAGAATCATCATTTGGCTTAATTTCGCCATGGTTGGTCCTTTATTAAAGCTGGATAGTCAGAGAATAATAAAACATGAAAAAATATTAAAAAATAATTGGCTTAGGCAATAAAAATCAACGGTAAAGTCAATTTTTTCAACAACAAAATTTTCAAGTTGGAAATCAAGCATCGTTTGTTATTAAACAGACAACAATAACGCAAAACGTGTTGAAATAAAACGTCTGGAGAATATATTTCTCTTTCTAAATCACTGACTACTTTTAAAAATATTTGAAGCAGTTCCGTAGAAAATGCACTTAAGCTAAAGAAAAACGGTACTGTCGTAGGTACCTACAGGCCTCTACCACCCCATTCAGTTCTCATAAATGGCTTAGTTATAGAGCTATAATAACGTTTTTGGTACAATATATTGCTTGTATTAAGGAACAAATATTAATGCATTAATTTAGTTGTCCAAACAATTTTTTTTAAAATTTATTATTTTATTTATTTTTTAATTTAACTTCCTGTATTCTATACGGAGATCGTTTAAGAAGGCCTCTATTTTAAAAATGATATAATTATAATAATGAAACATAATTCAAATATACTTTGCTGGTTATCTTGAATAATTTATTATGCATTTACAATTTGTGGGAACATTGGTTTTTTTTAATAAATAGTTACAATGAACACAACTATATGCAATTTATAGATTTATAGGGATGTAGGGGGGGGGGGGAGGGGTGCTCGGTTGGGGGGTCAAACCCACAGACTATCTGAGCCCTACCCTTTACACAGTTTTATACATCTGATATCCCAACCACTTATGCCGATGCCACATATGTCCTATCATTTAATAATGACCAATCAATTGTATCCCAAACTTTTCAATCACATATCACAAACCTTGAAGAATGGTGTCAAAACAGAAAGATTAAAATTAATTCCAATAAATCTCATCAAATTACTTCTACCCTTCGTCGTGAACCTATGACTTCCTACAGTATCCTTTAATAATACTCTACTTATCCCTGTTGAACAAATCCGATGCCTAGGACTCCACCTGGACAAAGTTGGAATCCTCGTAGAAGACTGAAACGACAAGAACCACCCACATTTCCGACGACTCCAGGGCTTACTAGATAAACTCTCTAAACTTTCAATTAATTACAAAATACTCGTGTTTTTTATTATAATAAGTCCTATTTGTAAGTATTTGTCCAATCCTTAAAATCCAAAATTCTTCGTAAAATCCTCAATACTCCTTACTTTGTCACTGATAAAATTATCCATAACGACTTTAATGTACCATAAGTTTCCGATTTGGTCCAATCCAGATACTTATCCTTCCATTACAAACTTCAGAGCCATCATAACCCTTTTGTTTTAAACCTTGCTTCCACTTCGATCCCTGATAATACTCCAAGACGTCTGAAAATAAGATGGTCTCATGATGTACCTTATGTAGATATACTGTTTTATTGATATCTTGAGAATTTACGAGAATATTTTGAGTTGGCACAATATGCATTTTACACTGTTTTTATTGAATAGATCAAAAGTGAACTAGCAATAATGAATGCAAACCACCTAGACAAATGGCAAACAGACCTGCTTTGACAAATAAAAGAAATAAAACATTTGTGAATGATTATATAAAAAATCAAACTTATACTGGGTAGCAAGATCTCGGATGATCGATTGACCAATGACTATGGCATAAGAAAAAAAAAATTGAACAAAAAAATGATTCAGCCAATGTCGTGAGTTTTCCTTACTCGTTCCACTGTGCGCCGGTTCGAATCCGGCCTGAGCGCGTTAAAATTTATTTTGTAGCGGAACCACGGAATGAATAACGCTTCCACTCTGGTTAGAATAGGGTTGGATGTACCTCTAGAACAAATGGCATAACGAAGGTTATAACATATTCGTTTTTAACTATCTCAAAAATGAACAAAAAATAAGAAGGCTTTGGTGAATAAAAAAAAAGTCGTATTATGTTAGGATATAATTGGAAAATCACTGCAAATCTCTAAAATGTAGGCAAAGAACCAACTTAATAACCTTTACTGCCAATTCAGGCATAATCAGGACAGAAAAAAACAAAAAAAAAACTTGCAAACCAGATCTTTAAATGAAAAGTTAATATATATTTTTTAACAGATCTAAATCCTAAAAGCTCCTTACTTCGTTAAAAATAAAATCATTCATAAAGTCTTTAATGTTCCATATGTTTCCGATTTGGCTTAATCCATATACCTATCCTTCCATAATGAACTTCAAAACCATCCTGTTACCCTCGTTTCTAGCCTTGCTTCCTCTTCGATTCTGATAACCATCCGTCTTGTTTGAAAAGAAGATGGCCTCGCGATCTCTTAGTTTAGAAATTTTATAAGTGTGCTACCAATGGGTAGTTTTTCAACAAGCGTTTTCGTGTCATTCTATTCCTGTGTGTACATTTACTAGATGTATTTTAATTTTATTACAGTTGTAAACATCATGAATAAATAAATAAAATTATATATAAAAATTTTTATGAATTGTAATAACAATAAACTACTTAGTATAATATTATAGAGTTTTCAATTATTTATCTATCTGCTGCGCGTTTAAGCTTTTAAAGCTGCGTACGCTCTTGTGCGACCGGTTTTTATATCATGAGAAACATCAAATGCTTAGAAACGTTTCTATTGAGTCTGTAGCTCGTTGGACGATCGATCAGTAACAACTCTTGAGGAAATCCAATGAAACATAACTAGTTACCAGGGCATTTATGATTTCGCTAATTAACTACAAACTTGGGTCATCTCCTGTAGTTACTTCCAATGTATAAAGTCCCGTCGCTATCCTTGCCCAGTATATCTCTCTATTCCTGTCTCATCATGGCTGTTCCGTTGATATATTAAAAAAAAAAATCATTTAAATTGAAATCCTCTATTTAGACATTTTTTGGTTTTAGAATAAATTAATTATATATTTTTGTATGTTTTATTATTCTACTCGTGGTTTATGAACTGCCTTTTTTCATAATTTTATAGAGTATAGGGTGTATATACATAATTTCCTAGGCAGCTTTACTAGTACTAAGCCGCCCGGATTCGCTAACGCTTGTTGACCAAAGCATGCCAGTACCGGAATTTCGAGATTATTTGGATTAAATTAAATATTTAACGAATTTTGCATTTGCCACTTTCACTGGCGCCCTGGGCACGATCTCTTCCTGTACCACCCTAAATACGCCACCGACTATAGTCCCTTCCACAAAACCGAAATCGCTAACCGAATGAACTATGCTTTGCTAACATAATGATGTCTCAAAATATGAGGTTTACTAGTTTCCTGCTCTCCCTTATGGAAAAACGTTCCAGTCAAAATATTTGCAACAACCCCGTTAGCGTTCGTCACAAAAATAGACAGATATTTGGAAGATTTTGTAAAATACTGGGATCAATGTTTTTTATTATTATTTTATTTATTTATTGAGTAATATAACATTCTGTCACATGAGCAATGGTTATAGTATGCCAAGACTACGTTCACAATATGTATACTAAAAAAAAAAAAAATAAATAAATAGAAGCTCAATACCAACTAAATAATAATCAAAAAGTATATTCAATGAATACAAATAAAAAAACTTAAAGATAAATAAATAAAAACAAAAAAAACTCTACGTATATACACTATTTAAAATCATGTGAGGGAACTCCAAGCTAGCTTTGTGCATCCAATTATAGAAGGAAAAGCAGAATTCCAGGAGATCTCTGCTATTCTGTCAGATTGGTGCTTGAGATTGAACGAGAGTTCTTTAGCCACCCACATACATTCATGTCTTGAGTGGAGAATCTGGCCATTACCAGAAGTCCAATATATACATATTACAAAAGGTCGCGGAGCCACTGTCGAGGAACAATGTAAAATTGTTAAAAATTTAGGTTTATAAAATTTTCCGCTATAAAGAAGTTTTATCATGATCCCCGTCTCCACCAATAATTGAGACAAAACGACGCAGTTCGGTTTCGCCCTTTCCAAATTTCTTTGTGCAGAGATAATAATGCATTAAATATTAAAATTTCCTATTTTTTTATGATATGATGCAAATTCCAAACAATTTTTTCCGCAATTTCTGAACAATAACGAGCTATAACTGATATAAGATTCCTTTTACAAATGCACTAAACAAAAGTAGAGCTATGAGCTATGAAACCGAACTGCTTCGCACAGTTTTGCGTGTACATAGACAACAAGTATATTAGTAAATGATATGAAAGGACGGTGGTTTACCTTTACCTTTACAAGAAAGGAGATACTAGGAAATGTAATACCCACTAAGATCCATTCCTGTTTAGTGTACCAAAAAAATTGTACTCAAGAATCGTAGAAGCTGGAATAAGAAATATTGTCGATTGCCAGAGCGATATGGATTGAGAAACTCAAGTTGCACATTGGAAGAGAAGTTGAAAATTGGGACTGTCTTCCCTTTAAGGCAGGTTATAGATAAGTCCTTATAAAAAGAAAAATAGCTCTATATCTGCTTAGTGCCTCACACTTTGGATTATGCTAATATCTAATTGTCTTTCAGAAAAGCTCGTTTGCAAATGCACTAAACAGAAGGAGAGCTATGAGCTATAACTTTCTCGATATACCTCTCTATATCCTGCTTCAAAGTGAAGATAGTCCCGATGTGCACCTTCAGCAATCGAAAATAAAGTGGTTTTCACCAAAATAAACCTACATCGTCCGCTTAATATCATCCAAACTGCAATTGACCC